AGTGTGTGTGTGTGTCTGTGTGTGTCTGTTAGTGTGAGTGTGTGTCTGTTAGTGTGTATGTGTGTGTCTGTTAGTGTGTAAATCTGTCTGTTAGTGTGAGTGTGTGTCTGTATGTGTTAGTGTGTGTGTGTCTGTTAGTGTGTGTGTGTGTGTGTGTCTGTTAGTGTGTGTCTGTGTGTGTGTGTATGTTAGTGTGTGTGTGTCTGTCTGTTAGTGTGTATGTCTGTTAGTGTGTGTGTGTCTTTTAGCGTGTGTGTCTGTTAGTGTGTGTGTGTGTATGTTAGTGTGTTTCTGTGTGTGTGTGTGTGCCTGTTAGTGTGTGTGTGTGTGTGTGTCTGTTAGTGTGAGTGTGTGTCTGTTAGTGTGTATGTGTGTCTGTTATTGTGTGGAAATGTTAGTGTGAGTGTGTGTCTGTTACTGTGAGTGTGTGTATGCCTAGGGCAGCACAAAACCAGGATACACCACTGACCTAACCATCTATGAAACAGACAGTGATTTACACAGAGTTCCCCTGTCCAGTGTCCACAAAGAACCACAGTAATGTTATAAAAATGTTAGCTCTTTCCTGACTGTGCAGTGATGAAGGAGATCAATATTGTAGGTCTGAGCTGTGGGTTTTTCTTTTGTTGTTTTTCACTATAGCATTTTCAACTTATTCTAATGTTCTCGGCATTGGAGGCTGACAAGGGTGACTAGGGGATGTGACTTCACATTTTTCTTCTGCTGAATAAAAAAATAGACAGCACTTTGGCATTTTTGTAGACTGGATACTACAGGAGTGAGATGGCAGGAAGGATTTTGTGCAGAGCTTTTGCTAGCTCACCATTGTGAAGGTTGCTGTATGAACTGGTGGCCTGCAATTTCACTGTCCTCCAGGTCTGGGCTTGCACATTGGGATAGTTCCCAGGAGACTATAGTGTATATGGTGCTTGCCAAGCTGTCAGAATATGACGAGCATGCATGATGCCCCAGGAGATGAGACAAGTGACTACTGGATGAGATTAAACAAAGCTCATAACCAGATTGTCACTGGTGGCAATTCTCTGCATTAGTAGGACCATCCACAAAAAAATCTGTGATTTTTATATACAAAAAGGCAGTGGCGTACTAAGGGGAAGGCGGAGGGGGCTGTCCGCCCCGGGTGCCACCAGGGTGGGGGGTGCCATGACCCTTATGCTGCAGCTGCCCGAGCCCTCTGCAGAGAGCCTCAGGTGGCTGCAGCTTTGCCAGGGCTGGTGCGTCCATGAGTGCACACCGCACTGCTCGGGCGCAGCCTGAGGAGAGGGGCTGACAGGAGGGAAATGCTCAGCGCTCAGGGCTCCCTCCTGTCACTCCCTCACTGTAGCGTGGCCGAGCTCTGTATGGTCCGCGGGTACAGGGAGCATCTGTCTCCTGTACCCGGCCGGACTAACAGGAAGTACACACTGGAAACAAAAGCTCCCTGTACCCACGGACCATACAGAGCTCGGCCATGCTACAACAGAGGTAGGGGAGGGGGGGGATAAGGAAATTGGGAGGGGAGGATAAATAAAGATTGGGAGGAGGGAGAAGGAAATTGGAGAGGGGGGATAAAAGAAATTGGGAGGGGGAGAAGGAAATTGGAGAGGGGGATAACGAAGGAAATTGGGGGGGGAGAAAGAAATTGGGAGGGGAGAAGGAAATTGGGAGGGGGAGAAGGAAATCGGAGAGGGGGGATAAAGAAAGATTGGGAGGGGGGTAAAGAAAGAAATTGGTAGGGGGAGAAGGAAATTGGAGAAGGGGGATAAAGAAAGATTGGGAGGGGATAAGGAAATTGGAGAGGGGATAAAGAAAGAAATTGGGAGGGGGAGAAGGAAATTGGAGGGGGGATAAATAACGATTGGGAGGGGGGATAAATAAAGATTGGGTAACTCCGCCCTAGGCTCCAACCTCCACATCTGGTGGTCATGCCCCCGCATCATTTCGTACTGGCAATTGATACACTCTAAGATCAAGGACATCACGGTCTCAGACCTCCCACTGCAACCACTGCCGATGCTCCTTCACCACACATCCACTCCGACACAACAATACAAAAAATCCCTCACGATACACCTGCTCTCCGCCGCAAAAAGCCTCATTCCACTGCACTGGAAAAGCCAGGCAGTTCCCACCTACACACAGTGGGTGGATAAGGTGGAGGAAATTCATGAAATGGAAACGATGACTGCGTCCCTGCGGGAGCGCTCGGACAGAGCTCTGTCAGCCCACTAGGTTGAGAATCCGAAAACCGATTACTCACGGGGCTCTCACCCTCTCCCTCTAAGCATGGTGATAACCCTCCAACAAATACCGTTGTACAACCACAACCCCCTGAACAACACAGACTCACCTATATAGCAAATGGCACACCTGAGCCGCACCCCAAGCCCCCGACTGAGAACCGCCCAGGTGGACACACTGCAAGGTGAGGGCTCATAGATTATGAGAAACAAATCGAACGTAACCCCGAAACACTGCCAGTTCTGACGCTCTATTAAAGTATACGTCACGCATTGTAACTTGATATTTGTTAAACCCCCTCACTCACCCACCTTTTTCTTTCTGTATCCCACCCTGACTTGAAAAACTCAATAAATAAAGAATGTCAAAAAAAAATAAATAAAGATTGGGAGTGGGGATAAATAAAGATTGGGGGGATAAGGAAATTGGGAGGGGGGATAAATAAAGATTGGGGGATAAGGAAATTGGGAGGGGGGATAAATAAAGATTGGGATGGGGGATAGGGAAATTGTGAGGGGTATAATTAAAGATTGGGAGGGGGAGAAGGACATTGGGATGGGGGATACATAAAGATTGGGAGGGGGGATAAATAAAGATTGGGGGGATAAGGAAATTGGAGAGGGGGATAAAGAAAGAAATTGGGAGGAGGGAGAAGGAAATTGGAGGGGGGGAGAGAAGGAAATTGAAGGGGGGGAGAGATTCACATTCATCACACACAATGCACCCCTTGCACACAGAAAAACACAATGCATTACACACACAGACACACATACACAAGCAATGCAACTGTTACACACAATGCATCCCTTACACACACAGAAACACACAATGCATTCATTACACACACTCAATGCACCCCTTACACATGCACACATTGCATCCTGTACATACACAGAAACACACCTTGCAGCCCTTACACATACAAACACAGATTCACACAATGCATTCCTTACACACATATCAGGACATCCCCTACACACTCCACCCCCTGTGAACAAACTGATTGGTGGAACATGAAGGTGGACCCTGCCTGGGACCCAGACCTTGAGCTGTGTAAAGGGCCCCCAAAAAATGGAGCTTCTTCCCGTTCTCCCAGAACATTGATTTTTGTGACCACAGTTACAAACCGCCTCCAGAGAGCCTGTTCTACACCAGACCAGTGGAGCCAGACTGCAGCTAGAGCCCATCATCATCCTCATCTGGTTGTAAGTAGACAATCTAGTATATTATTCGTGGCACTAATCTCTAATTTACCTCAAATTAAAGAAACACTATAGTCCCCAGAACCACTGCAGCTTAATGTAGTGGTTCTGGTGTCTATAGCCTGTCCCTGCAGGCCTTTTAATGTAAACACTGCGGCACTGCAGCACTGGCGTTAGATAACATGGCAAATCATATGGGTGGGGCATTGTGATGTCACATGGGGGGGCGGCAAACTTTACTTTTGCCTAGGGCGGCAAAAATCCTTGCACCGGCCCTGGCTGGCGGGGGCTGTGTGAGCTGTGGCCGCACAGTGCCCCATGGTAGTTAGGGTGCCGTGCGGCCAGTACAGCTCACACAAGCAAAGAGCTGATAAACTGGCCGCATGGAGGAAAAGTGGGGCGGAGCTAAGCAAAATTTGAGGCGGGGCCAAACTGGCACTGGGGGCGGGGCTTTGGGTGGCAAGGGGGTGCCAAGCACAGGATCCGTCCCGGGTGCCAAATGCTCTAGGTATGCCCCTGCGTGGAGTATCCCTTTAAAATCCCCATTTATAAAAGTGAAAATTTCAATAGAAACGCCTCTGCAGCTGTCAAACAGCTGTGGAGATTCACTTCACTAGCGCATGTCTGCCTTACAATATTGGCTGCAAGCTATTTTAGACTATACTCCCAATTAATACATACATAAAAAATATACACACGTTTATTTATTGGGGGTTTATTTACTAAACTGGGGAGGGTTTTTTTTTCCCCAAATGTTGAGGGGTCCTTTAATTTGAAAAGGGTGTTTTTTTTTGTTTTGTTTTTTAAAAGCTAGAATCACCACACTGTAAGTGTACATCAGTACACTGCACTGTATTTACATCTTGTAGTAACAATTGAGCAATTTCCATTTTGCATACCTTTTGAATTGCCTGTTTTTTTCTGATTTTTATTTTTTTTGCATCTTGTGGTTAATACCTTAAGTAGTTTGTTCGCACTTTTAAGTCCAATAGCAAACTCCTTTAAAAAATTAAAAATTTCAATAGCATTTTTACTTTATTCATGAGTTATTTGCACAATCTTTCCATGTTGTTGCATTAGCAGCCATTTGAATGAGATTCACTCAAGGATCAAAAGTGGGAGCTGCAAAAAAAAAAAAAATGAAGCAGAGTTGGAGGTGTTGGATTTTTGATGGACTCTCGGAAGGTATATTGGATGGCTGATGGGTGTTGACATTTGCCTAGCATTAATGGGTGTGAATGAATGGCTAGAGATAATGGATGTTGATGGATGACTGTGTTTATGGGTGTGGATGGATGGCTGGGGGTAATGAGGGTGGAATGATGGTTGTAACGGACCGTTTTGCACAAAAGGGAAAAAAAACGCTTAGACGATAATCCCCTTTCAGAGACAGGCACAGCTACTGTAGAATCACCAAAACTCAGAAATTGAATACAAGTGAA